TCGAAAAGGGGTAATTTTAAACTTACCATCATCTCTGCTCTCAGTATTTCTATCATCATCTTTGCTCTCAGTAAATTTAAACTTATTTTTCTCTTTCTTCTCTAAACAAAAAACAGACAATGTGGTTTGCTCAAGTTTTCTGCATCGGCGGTTGGCTTGCTATAGCATTTTCACAAGACACGATTTGGCTAGACGCTGGAAGATTTTCCACAGGATTTGCTGTTGGATTATTCAGCTACGTGGTAATTATTCTTTAACTCTCATTTTTTCTTTATATATGTTAAATTTTGTATTATAAAAGCTGACACTACTTTAACTCTGTTGCAATCAGATACCGGTTTATATTGCAGAAATAACACCAAAACATGTTCGAGGAGCATTTGTATTTGCTAATCAGGTAATTTAAAGAATAATCAGAGAATATTGATAATTTAACCAGAAAACATTTTGATACTAATGATCTTAATCTTTTTAAAACGTTTGTTACAGCTGATGCAAAGTTGTGGGTTGTCATTATACTACGTCATTGGAAATTTTGTTCATTGGCGTAATTTAGCGTTAATCGGTAAGCTTAATTGCATTCACACCTTCTTTCTAGCAGTTTTTAAGTGATGGGAAAAGAAGAAATTATTTAAGTTTTATCGGTTTCTTTTTTTCCAGGTCTGATTCCATGTATTTTGCAAGTTGTGACTTTGTTCTTCATTCCAGAGTCCCCTAGATTACTGGTATGTTTATAGCCTAATGAACCCTTTTAAATTTATTTAATCTTTTTAGTAACACATGTGAAATGATAATTAAAATTTGGTGGTGTGTAGGGAAAATGGGGACGTGAAAAAGAATGTAGAGCTTCATTGCAGCTTCTCCGTGGAGATGATGCTGATGTCTCTGAAGAAGCCGACACTATCAAAGTATTACTCACTACTATTTTCAAACATCTCTGTTTTAAAATTCTTCTTGTTTCAACTCAATACGTGGCTAACAATTAAATCCTTATAATTTCCAACGTTAGGAAACCATGGTGTTGTTTGATCAAGGACCAAAATCTCGGATTATGGATTTGTTCCAGAGGAGATATGCTCCATCTCTTGTTGTAAGTTACTTTAAAACGTCTCGTGGTGAAACTGAGGTTTTCTTTTTCTCTTTGGCTTTTTAGTGAAAGTTTATTACATTCTCTTTTCAGATCGGTGTGGGGCTAATGCTTCTACAACAGCTCTCCGGAAGCTCAGGGATTATGTTCTACGTCGGTAGCGTATTTGATAAAGGAGGTAAACAGGAATAAAAAGACAAACTCTGTTTTGCATGTAACAATAATTGTGTTGTCTTTGTTTGTGAGTAACAAACCTTTTTACTTTTGACAGGGTTTCCAAGCAGCATCGGTACAATGATTCTTGCAGTGATCATGGTATGTCTTTTTCACATAGTTTCATTCTATTCTTCAATAAACCTTCCAAGGACTACACTAAATTATCATGTGTTCTTGTTTGTAGATACCAAAAGCTTTATTGGGTCTGATATTGGTTGAGAAAATGGGACGAAGGCCGCTTCTACTGGTAAACTTTTGCTATCTTTTCTGATCAAATGTGAAAATGAAGCAAAATCATTTTTAACATAATGTTTTTGGTTACAGGCCTCTACTAGTGGAATGTGTCTTTCCAGCTTGCTCCTCGCATTTTCCTTCAGCTTTCGGGTAAATTTAAACACTGTTTCACCAAAACATGATGTAAAAACTCTGATTTACCCTTTTATTGATCATATCTATTATTTCTTCTTGGACAGTCATATGGCATGCTCGATGAGCTCACTCCGATCTTTACATGTATTGGTGTAGTGGTACGTATAAAATCATTTTTCGACATAGAAAAAGAAACTAAAAAGCACATGTTCTTTGTATGAAATTGATCTGATTTTTACATGATGTTTCTTTCACAAAAATAGGGTTTCATCTCTTCATTTGCCATAGGCATGGGAGGCTTACCATGGATCATCATGTCTGAGGTATTAAACCAACACTCACTTCTTTAAAGAAACTCTTCCTCTAAGTATATAAGCTCTAAAGAGATAAAACATTTTGTTTTTTTTCGCAGATTGTTTTTTTAACATATTTTTCTTTCCGCAGATTTTCCCAATGAATGTGAAAGTTTCAGCTGGGACTCTTGTTACCTTAGCCAACTGGTCTTTTAGTTGGATTGTAGCTTTCGCATATAACTTCATGATAGAATGGAACGCATCAGGTATACTATATGGTCAATTAAAGCTCTATCTCAAAATGTTTATACTTTATAAGATCATTTTTTAAAGTTATGAAGTTTACTATTTTCAGGAACGTTCTTGATCTTTTTTAGTATTTGCGCGGCGGGTATAGCCTTTATTTATGCGATGGTACCCGAAACAAAAGGAAGAACACTTGAAGATATACAAGCCTCTCTTACAGATTTTCTACAATGAGTTTGAGATTTACATGTTCTTTTTTTTTACTCAAGTGGGGGGAGGTTTATAGTAGTTTTTTTGTTATACTTATTTCCTCATTTTGTACAATAGAGAGAACAGTTCACTTGGGAGAAAAAAAAAGTTAGATATTTATGTTACTCGCAACTCCCATTTATGTATAGTATAGTCCCCACTTACCCAAAAATAAATTATTTAAAATTATTTTCAGTTACTGTATTTTTTTTTTGGTAATTTTCACAAGACAGATATACAATATAAATTATGGATGAATTGAATAGTGTATACTTTCCCAATAACATTGAATTTCTTTGTAAAGTTCCATGCATATTTGCGGCATCATTTATGTAATTTTATCAAATTGTGAGGTTAACTTGGCTATCGATGTGCAAACCACACCTGTGACAAGCTGAGTGCATCTAATTTGCATACGTCATAAGGATCAGTCCTTTGAAAGTTAAACCACCCTACTGACGTTTTAACAATCTTTCTTTTTGTTAGTTGCAAAACAATTGGATTTTAGTTTTTACGCAATTAAATCTCACAAGCGGTATCTTATATATATTCTATTGTTATTATACGGTCGTGGTGGTTGGCATCTTGCACGTCTTCCGCATGATTTGTGAAGCAGAATCACTTTAGAAAGATAATTTTTATATATCAGAATGGAACAAAGCGAGCATGTGGGAATGATCTCACGAATCACCTTTTCTTCTGTTTCCATGATCTCATCGATTTGTTGTTGTTTTTAATTGGAAAGTTGTTCTAGAAATCGCTAATCGAGTAGACAATATCGTCCAGTCCACTCACTAGTCAATGCCTTTTTCAAAGTAAACCTTTTTTTTTTTTTTTTGAAAGATGAAACCCTTAATTCCATAATTTCAGTTTCTTCTAAGGTCCAACATAGTATTGGTAAAATTGTTAAGCAAATTTATTTGAAAAAAACTCAGTTAGCAACAAACTAGTCAACTAGTTGGTAGATTACTTCCCATAATCGCGTTACGTAATGAATACGTAAAAACTGCATTGTTTGCTAATGTCTCGGTAAAAGTAGTGAATTATGGTTAGGTTTCTGTGATGCAATGATTGGACAATAACTTAAACGGGTAGCAAACTAGTCAACTAGTTGGTAGATTACTTCCCATAATCGCGTTACGTTATGAGTACGTAAACACTGCATTGTTTGCTAATGTCTCAGTAAAAACAGTGAATTATGGTTCGGTTTCTGTGATGCAATGGCTGGACAAAAAAACTAAAACGGCCCTATAAATGTTTGAGCCTAAAGCCCAATTGTACAAAATATATTTGGTAAGAAAATGGCGGGGGAGGGGGGAAGAAAGATATACAATTGGGCCATAGATTACAGGCTACAAAGGTACCTTAATAACCTGTTGAACAGCAAGTCAGTTGGAACTATGTTTATGCCTTACAAGAATTGAATACATTTTCAATGTAATTTTCATATATAATCTATTCTTATCCTTTTAGTCAACTAATAATATTTATTTAAATTATTTATATATTTAAATAATTATATGTTAAATGAAGGCATATTTATATATTCTATTATTTTAAAGTTTGCCAGAAATATGTTAAAATGATATTTCTGGTGAAACAGATGGATTATATACAGTTTTTCGCTCACTCTCTTTTCGTTCATGTAACCAACCATGAAGCTTCCTTTGAGCTTCTTTTACACTTTTGTTTGTCGCCTTTATGGCTAATTAGATCACAGGGGACCCATATCAACAACTAAGCAATATAAAAAAATTGTAGATAATTATAATGTTTAATGTATACAAAACCAGTCAAATTTGAGTTACAAAAAAAAACAGTCGAATTTGTCTAGACTTTGATGAACTGAAAGTGGATCAACTTCATAGCTGTGTTCATTGGATGTACATAAAGAATAGTCAAATTTTGAAATTAATAAGAAATGTGGTCGACTACGAAAATAAAACTAGAACGACTTTTCAATCCTCAATGATTGATAACGACAGATATGGAGTATTATTTATCTCTTCTGTACTACACTGACTTCTATTATCCTACCAAAGATATTTGTACTTTCCGATGAACTCTCTTTTCTGTTTAAAAGTTAAATTCCCTCAAATCAATCTTTTTTTTTGGTAATCAGTTATTTTAGTTCCCGTAAATCAAGTTTTTTTCATTTTTATTAAGTATATTTATATGTTGACAAAATAACTATATATTATACATATATGATATATATCAACATACAGACACAAACATGCTTTTTAATTTCTGAATGCCATGTATAACCATATAACTAAGGTAAATAGATAACTATCACTGTACAACACACGTTCTTAAAAGTATAAGCAAAAATAATCATAGAAAATAGAAAAATTCAAACCAATAACAGTCAAGTTCAATGTAGACGACTGAATATAGACAAAGCATAAAAAAAATAATATCTATAATTTTCAAAAATAGTGTGCTTTTGAGCCGTCTTATCATATATAAAAAGAACAATATAAAGAGTGATCTCTGACGCATTTATAGAAAACGATATATCCACTAGTCCAAGTAGACGAGAATCCAATTCTCAATTTGCATACGAAACTTTCAAGAGACTTCCAAGTCCTCTCACAAGCCACAACTATACTGGCTCTCTTATATACCAAATCCTCCTAAAAAAGAGAGAAACATAACAAAGCAAAGAAGGACTGTGTTTGGAAATGGAGCGACAAAAGAGCATGGAGAAAGGGCTACTGAAGAAGAGCTTAAGCATACAAGAACGAGAGAAGAAGTTCCCTAACGAAGACGTTTTCTTAGAAACAGGATTATCGAGGAAATCCCCGAGAGAGGTTATCAAGAAAGCTCAAGAAGACGATGGTGAATGTCGTGTTACCGCCTCTGTTTTCCTCAGCACATTTGTCGCCGTGTCTGGCTCCTTCTGCACTGGTTGTGGCGTGAGTCATCGATTTCAAACCCGGTTTAACTATAAACCATCCGGTTTTTGACTGTCTTGCAGAGTTTCTTTTGTTGCTCTGAACCAGCTTAGCTGATATGGATGTATCGGTTTTTTTTGTAGGTGGGTTTTTCATCGGGTGCGCAATCAGGGATTACCAAAGATTTATCTCTCTCAGTTGCTGAGGTAACTAATAAATATTATATTTGCTACAAAATTAATATAAACTAGTATTTGGGCCCGTACTACGTACGGGTACATAATTCCTTAATTTAAATATGTATTAATACTATATATTTGGTTAAAATGCACTAACACCAAATATAATATATCCTCTATTCATGGATGCCAAGATATGCTAAAGAGTGTTAATTTGTATCTGTAAAAACCATTGATTGTTGGTAATATATTTAGAAAATTATAAAAATCTACAGCAACAATAAACTAAATATTTATGTTAACAATAAGCTAATATACCTCTACTAATAGTGCCTTAATCTCCATCCACAGATATACTGATACGCCATCTTCACACTCCTTCTTTTTTTGAGAAAATTCTTCACGTTCCTTAATAGCAAGATGTTCTATCTTTTCTTTGCCCTATACCATAATAAACAAAAAAAAAAATAGCCGCAAAACTCAGCAACGTTAATCTTTTCATGTTAACTGAAAAAGTGCAAAATATTTACTTTAGTACTTTCATGGTCTGATTTTTAAATTTGTGCAGCCTTGCTGTACTTTCCTCTTCCTTTGAATAATCCGTATAAGAAAAGTTCAAACTGAATAACACAAAAAGATTATTATTTTGAGAAGCATAGAAAAATGATTTTGAATAAAAAGTAATCAAAAATCCATTTTGATCTTTGTTGCTACACTCGAAACTCAAAGAAAAATGAAGAAGAGGTATAACGATTAGGAAAAAGAGAGAACAAAACAAAAGATCATTAGATATTTGATAACTATATAACCAATGAAACAGTTAACAGTTTTAATCGTGCCATCAAATTAGGGTAGTGGAATTATTTATTTTTAGGGAGTTATCTTTTTATAATTGTTTAAATTTATAATTGGCTCAGATTGTTTTTTAACATTTACGTGATAATTTTGGTTTTCATTTTATTTTGTTTTTGAGAAAATATTCCACATGTCATTATTTTATTAGTTAGGTGACTTGTGCTTTAGTATATAGAGGATAAGGTTTTAAGGTTGACTTCTAAGTTGACACTCTTGACTGATCATGCAGTACTCAATGTTCGGGTCGATTTTGACACTAGGAGGTTTGATTGGTGCATTATTCAGCGGTAAAGTCGCCGATGTCCTGGGAAGAAAGAGGGTAAGTTATAGAATAAATTCACATGTTTTTATTTTGTCTCATTGTTTGGTTGACCGGTTTTCATCTACAGAACCGGTCTTTACTTACCTTTTATTTTCTGAAAAAAAACAGACGATGTTGTTTTGCGAAGCCTTTTGCGTTACAGGCTGGCTTGCGGTAGCATTGGCTCAGGTTTGTTTCTCTCGTCTACTTGTTACTTGTCTTGTTTTATTCATTCTTTTTGTCTTGTTTATTTATTCTTAACGGATATTTATCTTTATTCTTTATTTCTGCGTTTTATTAGAACTAAACTTTTTTTATATTAATGTTTTGAATATGAAGGACGCATTATGGCTGGACTGTGGAAGATTGTTACTTGGAATCGGCGTTGGTTTATTTAGCTACGTGGTAATTTATACCATCCCCTATATATTATTTGAGAAGCATTACAACATTCTTTGGTAGCCACGTGTCAGCATGAGAATGCTTCTCAAATTCACTAGAGAAAAATGTTGGTCCATATAAACATATAATATACTTTTTATTAGCCTAAACATAAAACTATTATTAATACTATTTATTATTTCCTTAAATAAAATTTACGGAATTACCTAATATGGTTACAATATATATATGACAATTAATGATTTGAATATGAAGATTTGATAAAAAAATTATAGCATCTACTATTTTTGTTAAATTTAATTATAAAAATAAATTAAACAATAACATTAACTATATAACAAAAAATTAGATTTTTACATATGTTATATTTAATTTTTTTACAAACGACTATAAATTAATAAAGCATTGAAAAATTTCAATTATAATATTTTTGATTAATAGTTTAAATCTCCTATATGTTGGAGCATTACAACATTTTTTGGTAGCCACGTGTCACAATGAGAATGATTTTCATAACTCTTAGAGAAATATGTTGGTTCAACTAAACATACGTTTATTTTTATTATACCAACTATCATATTTAATTAGTAGTGTACAAAAGAAGATTTTTTATTCTTTCCTTAAATAAAAGCTACGGAATTACCTAATGTGATTAACATATATATCACAATTAATGTTTATGAATAATAAATATTTGATAACAATTTTTTATACTCTTTATGTTTTATTTAATTTATATTATTAAAAGAAATTAAAAAATCACATTAATTATATAATAAAAAAATTTATATATGTTCTTATACGTTATATTTTAAATTTTTTAAAACGACCATAAATTACTTAAGATGGTAAAAATCTCACACCGAAATTTTGTGATCAATGGTAACGATTTTAGTTCAGCCAATCGTTTTTCTAATGGGTCTTAAATAGTTCATAATGATTAACTAAATGGATCACCCATAATAGAGTGTGTTTTGTTTAAAATTTTTGCATACCCAAAATCAATATGAACCATCATCCATTTCGTTTTAATTTCTGGTATAATAAAAAAGATATATGGTTGGACAAAAAAAAACTAAATCCAAATAACCGAACCAAATCTAACCCAAAAATGAATACAAATTTTTAAGCAAAATTGGTTAGATATCTAAGCGAATTCGAAATTTTGGTATCTAGATAATCAAAACTGAATCGAAAAATTTCGGGTATCCGAGTGTACTCAAACAAGATTTATATTCTTAAATATATTAATTATTTGTAAATTTAACATCTAAGAATATACAAAACACATGAGATGTTTTAAAAATTTCTAAAATACTTAGAAATATGTAAAATAGTTAGATGCAAATTTTTAAAATAGCCAATCAACCTCTAAATACCAAAAATATTTGAAATATTTATTGATTTTTTGTCCAAATATTTAAGATAAATCAATTTTATGTTAATTTTAAGTATTTTGTCATTCATTTTTCAAACTTATGTTATATATTATTTCTACTTTTAGGTTTTGAAAAACTTAAAGTATATATGAATTTTAATCTTTTTTTTATAAAAATTAAATGGGTTATGCGAACTTAAACCCAATCTGAACCTATAAAAATTCAAACCAAACCGCAATGATCTAAACCAAACATAATCTAACCGAAACAAATAGTACCCAAATGTCCATATTGATAGCAAAATATATATTTAAATGCAACATATTTTTAAAAAACTCACTCCGCGCATGGCGCGGGTTATCATCTAGTTCTAAATTTATTTTCACCACAAATGAAAATTACTTAAATAATGAGTTAGTGATACAAAGTTGTGTTTTCGTATAGATCCCGGTCTATATAGCCGAAATCGCACCGAAACATGTCCGTGGTTCGTTTGTGTTCGCCAATCAAGTACGTTAAGTGGGTTTATTTGTTTGTCTGGTTTTTGTTATAACCAAATTGATCAAACCGGTCCAACCTAATTTGGTCCAGGCTTCCAGCCTTATATTTGGAAAATAACATACATTCTTGTTTATAATTACGTACAGTTGATGCAAAATTGCGGTATTGCGCTCTTCTTCATCATTGGCAATTTCGTTCCATGGCGATTATTAGCAATAGTCGGTACGATTATGCATATTAAAAACTTACAAGAGAATGATATAATATAATCCAAACCGGCTTAATTTAACAATGTGCTTTTTATGTTTCCAGGGTTTGTGCCATGTGTGCTCCACGTTTTTTGCTTATTTTTCATTCCCGAGTCTCCCAGATGGCTAGTAAGTTCGTTTATGTTTGCATATGCATGCATGGTTTTGGTTTCCGTTAGCTTAACCAATCACACTGGTTTTGAAATTTTGTTTGAAGAGTTTTTAATTTTTTTATACTATATGACAGGCGAAAAAAGGTCGTGATAAAGATTGCCGAACTGCTTTGCAATGTCTAAGAGGACCTGACGTCGACATTTCTCGTGAAGCAAACACAATCAGAGTATGAAATTTCCATTCAAGAAAAAAGCTCTACGATTAAACAATATTGGTTTTCAAATCAACATTTTTTTCTTTTGCAGGATACCATAGAAATGTCTGAAGTCCATGGTGAAACTAGAATGGCTGAATTGTTTCAGAGACGATATGCATATCCGTTACTTGTAAGTATTTGACCTAACAAAAAAGGAAGTTTCTAATGATATGTGACTGTTTTCAATTATTAAAAAAAAAACATTTGGAGTCACTTATTATGTAATGATATATGTTTGCATACAGATCGGAGTTGGCTTAATGTTTTTGCAACAATTGAGCGGGAGCTCCGGTGTAACCTATTATGCAAGTAGCCTCTTCCAAAAAGGAGGTAACATAGTTTTCATACATATACACTTTGACATTGACAACATGATGATGTGTATATAGCTCAATCCCAATTACAAAATTAACATATATCGTTTACTTTCAGGTTTTCCAAGTGCTGTTGGCACATCTGTAATAGCCACTCTGATGGTAAGTTTTCAAGATATAATTTTCTTCACTTGATTATACAAGAGAAATTCCAATATGAAAAATGAATTTATTCTTCTATCATTTTTAGGTTCCGAAAGCAATGCTGGGAACAATCATAGTCGATAAACTTGGGAGGAGAACGCTCCTAATGGTTAGATCTACTTTAGATTCAATCAAGTGATATTAAGTATGATTTTTTCTTCATCCCACTAGAACTAAAGTATTTTTCTATTTACAGGCTTCTTGTGCTGGGATGGGGTTGAGTGCTTTGCTCTTAAGTGTTTCCTACGGTTTCCAGGTAGTTTTAAACCTGCCATATTCATATAAATACGTTTATGAATTGAATATAACATTTTGTGACAGCATTGTTTTAAGCTAATTACTGTCTTCAATTTTTTTGTTAAATATGGATCAGTCATTTGGAATTCTCCCAGCTCTCACTCCAATCTTCACTTGCATTGGCGTATTGGTAACAACCCTTAAACATTTTTTTTACAACATTACCATAACAAACAAACAAACAAAAAGCAGATGAAAATGTTTTAGTTGTATCTTAAATTCTTTGGATGAACTCCTTTCATTGCTGCTGATTAGTTGTTGTTAACATTGGTGGTTTTATTTATGGAATGTATAGGGTCACATTGTGACATTTGCGTTGGGAATGGGAGGACTACCATGGATTATAATGGCTGAGGTATTCCAACATTTATATTTCATGTAACTTACCTTGAATCCGGAAAATGTGAGTTGGGAGTTAGTTATGTGAATATAATAGTAACATTTATTTCGTTTGCAGATATTTCCCATGAATGTAAAAGTGTCAGCTGGAACCTTAGTTACCGTGACTAATTGGTTATTTGGTTGGATCGTCACTTATACTTTTAATTTCATGTTAGAATGGAATGCATCAGGTATACACATAACAACAATAATTTAACTACAGTTATAATGTTAGGAATAAGTTGTTACTGATTGTCTTTTTTGTTCATTTTTTCAAGGGATGTTCTTCGTCTTCTCAATGGTCTCAGCCTTTTCGATTGTATTTGTATACTTTCTGGTACCAGAGACCAAAGGCCGATCACTTGAAGAAATACAAGCATTGCTCTCCAACTATGTACAATAATTTTGTTCTGCGTAAAATGATCGTATTAATCGATTGTTGTAATTAAAGAGAAAAATCGATTATTATGATTTCTGTGAGTTTGAATGAGATTTGTCACTTGTGTATTGATCGAGTTTTGGATGGGATGGCAGCACCAATTTTCTCTATTTCATGTTTGGGAAACAATGCATGGTTTGATTAAACGATATTTCTCAAAATAATAATAATGAAAGATTAAGGATAGACTTAAATATAATTTCGTTTGATAATGAAAAGACAAGTAAAGACATACATACATACCTTTAGCAAATAAAATTAACTAAAAATAAAATTGATCTTTAATTGAAAGATAATACGAAAACTAGTCAAGTTGCGTCTTAAACGCTATCGTACGAACACGTGAATTACATACACATCATGCAAGAATAATGGCTCCGATTCGTAACCATCGCGTAATCGCGGAATCGCGGAAATAATAGTTAAGTTGCGGAAAAAATTAATTAAGTCGTGGAAAAATTTAAAATTTGCGGAATAGCGGAATATATATTAATTGATTAAAATATTTTATATGGTTTTTAATTTGTTATAAAAAACAACTAGTAATAATTAAACTAATTATTATAAATGTGAAAACAACTAA